TATAATTTTTTATTTTGTTTCATGGAAGAATTCATGTTTCTTTATCTTCTTATTCTAGTCCTAAAGAATATTCTTACATATAATAAAGAATTCCCATTTGATGTTCAGCCTGTCCCATTAAGGTAAAATAAACATTTGTATTTGTTTTCTTATTTTATACTTCATTTTTAGGTATTTCTGGGTTTTCCTAAATATGAACTTTACTATTATTGATATCATTGACATCAGCAGTGATAACAGTATATCAGCATTTTTTATAACAGCATCTTACCTGGGAAATGAGTTGCTGTGAGGCATTACTAGTATATTTAGTTTTGCAGCTCACTATTTTTTCTGCCCTTTTTCATGTAGAAGAATTTTGGCACCCAGTGAAGAAGAGAATTTGGAATTGAAGAAGATGAAGAAGAGGGCAGTGCTGGAGCAGGGTCTCCTGATTCTTTTCCTTCTAGAGTTCCTGGTAGGTATCACTTGTTAAAAATACATATTACTTAACTGCATAAAAAGTCACGGTGTTTGAAGATTACTTTGGTATTTATTAGTGGGGCAATAAAACCACCCTAAGCCCATGTGTATCTTAGGCAAATTTTGTTGGGCCTAGCTGTTTCATAAATACAATGTGAAAGTATCTTACTATCTGTGTCAGGGGTCCTAAGGACCATCCCCATGTTCAGTGATTCACTAGGATGACTCACAAGGCTCACTATGTAGTTGTATTCACAGCTAGGATTCACTACAAGAGAACACAAGGACAAAATCAGCAAACAGAAAAGGCACAAGGGCAAAGTCTGGAGCAAACCATATGCAAGCTTTCAAGAATCCCCTTTCAGTAGAGTCACGTAAGATGTGCTTAATTTCCCCTGCAGCAAGTTGTGACAACATAGGTGAAATGCACAATGTTGTCTGTAAGAGAAGCTCTTTAGAGTCAGTGCCCAAAGCTTTTATTGGGGACTACTTATGTGGGTACCTCCTGCCTGGCACAGACCTAAATTCCAGACTACAGAAGTAAAGAAGGTGTTTAGCACAAACCATATTGTTTACACAGTTTAGGCACAGTGACCATTCTTATCAGATAATGGTGGAAACCCTCCCCAAATCCAAGATCCCAGATGCCAGCCATGGGCTGACGTTGCAAGGAGGTTTTCTAATAATAGGCCTGCTATCTTAATTCTTTTCTGTATATTGTCATAAGTCCTTTTTTTTTTTTTTTTTTTTTTTGAGACAGAGTCTTGTTCTGTCACCCAGGCTGGAGTACAGTGGCAGAATCTCAGCTCACTGCAAACTCTGCTTCCCAGGTTTCAAGCAATTCTCATATCTCAGCCTTCTGAGCAGATGGGATTACAGGTACGTGCCATTTGCCTGGCTAATTTTTTGTATTTTTAGTAGAGATTGGGTTTCACCATTTTGGCCAGGCTGGTCTGGAACTCCTGACCTCAGGTGATCTGCCTGCCTCAGCATCCCATAGTGCTGGGATTACAGGCATGAGCCATTGCACCCAGTCCCATAAGTACTTCTTAATTAATCAAATTGCGGTGGTTAAAACTGGACCCATGGGGAGTGGATACTGAATAATTGCCCTTTCTTCCCCATCTTCTTTTAGGGAAGTAAAGAATTTATGGCAAACCTTTTTTATTTATGGAAGCTTTCCATGAGTATCTTCCCTCCCTGTAAATAACCTCAGCAAGCACCCTGGATAAATTTCTT